CCATATACAGTAAGTCCTCACTTAACTAACTTTAAAGGAAACATGTATTGATACAGCACAAGTATGTTCTCATAACGTCAGTTCGTCAAATAACATATTTGTATATCAAAGTAGTATTGAATTAGACAATATTATGTGAGATCAGCTATATTTTTTATAAAAGCCTTTTTCTAGTGATGAACACTTTAAAATCTGCTCTCTGAGCAACTTTCAAATATGCAATACAGTGTTAACTATAGTCACCATTTTGTACATTATTACATCCCCATGACTTTTATAACCAGAAGTGTACCTTCTGACCCCACTTCACCTGTGTTACCCATACTCCATACCTTGTGTCTTGCAACCACCAATCTGTTCTCTATATGAGCTTTTTTAAGATTTATTTTTGCATACAGAACTGGGGTACAGGCCAGAGGGGCAGGGGCAGTGAGATGATTCACTAGAGTCAGAGTGGGCAGTAAGACAGACAGATTGATGAAGTACACTGCTGAGGGGAGCAATAGTTGCAATAGGAGAGGTCTGCTGTACCATGTGGGTCACCTTCCTGCCTGGAGATTGAACTCATGCTGAAGCTGTTGCGGCTAGCTTCATAGTGCTGTGCTTTAACCAGTTGCATCGCCAGGGGAGGCAAAGATCGCTCATGAGGGCCCTCCCTGGTGGCTTAATGGCTTAGGACACAGTACTGCAAGCTAGCTGCAGCTGCTTCAGGGTGAGTTTGATCCTCCGGAGGTGATCCACATGGTGCAGCAGACCTCTTCTGTCTTGCCTGCTGCTCCCCTCAGCAGTATACTTTGTCGATCTGCCAGTTCTGCTCCCCACTCTGTCTCTGGTGAATCCTCTCACTGTCATTGCACCTTTGGCCTGTGTTCCAGTTCTGTATGAATAAATAATTTTTTTTAAAAAAAGATAGCTCATGTAAGTGAGATCTTACAGTATTTGTCTTTTCTGTCTGACTCATTTCACTTAGCATAATGCCTTTGAGGTCCATCTATGTCTCAAATGGTAAGATTTCATTGTGTTATGGCTGAATGATTTTGTGTGTGAAAGAGAGAGAAAGAGAGAGACATTTTCTTTATCTGTTCATTTTTCAGTGAGCACTTAGGTTGTTTCCATATCTTGGATATTGTAAATAATGCTGCAATGGCCACAACAGTGCATGTATCCTCCTGAGTTACTGACTGTTTCATTTTCTTTGGCTGCATACCTGAAAGTGGGATTACTGGATAATATTTCAAATTTTTGAAGAATCTCTATACTCTTCTTCCACAGTGATTACACCAATTTACTGTCCCACCTACACTGCACAAGCAATCCTTTTTCTTCACATCTTGCCATATTTGTTATTTCTTGTCTTTTAAATAAAACCATTCTGACATAGGTGAATGGGATCCCATTGTGGTTTTGATTTATATTACCCTGGTGATTAGTGATATTGAATATCTTTTCAAGTACATGACCATCTGTGTGTCTTTAGAAAAATGTTCAGATTTTCTGCCCATATTTTAATCTGATTAATTTTTTGCTATTGAGTTGTATGTGTTAATGTGTATTTCCTTAGAGTTCTGTGTTGCAAATAAATGAAGGCTCTCCCTGGTGGTCTAGGGGTTTAAGGATCCATGCTGCCACTGCTGCAGCCCACCTCAATGACCTTAGTACAATTTCTGGCCAGGAAGTTAAATGACTTGGTGCAACAGACCTCTCCTGTTTCGTCCACTGCTCCCCTTAGCAGTATATTTCAGTAGATCTTCCTGTTCTTCTCTCTCCTCTGTCTCCGGTGGATCATCTTACCCTTCACTGGCCTACACCCCAGGTTTTTTTAAAGATTTATTTATTCATTCATACAGAACTGGGGTAGAAGCCAGAGTTGCAGGGGCAGTAAGTGGCTTCACCAGAGACAGAGGGGGGAGCAGAACAGGCAGATCGACGAAGTACACTGCTGAGGGGAGCAGCGGGTGGGTCAGGAGAAGTCTGCTGCACCATGTGGGTCACCTCTGGGGCGGGGATTGAATTCCCACTGAAGGGGCTGTGGCCATCTTGCAGTGCTGCATCCTAACCCGTTGCGCCACCAGGGAGGGCCCATAAAGGAATAATTCTTTAAAGAAAGAAAGGAAGGAAAATGAGGGAAGTAGCTTCAAAGTAAAGTAAGAGAGAAAACTTTGCAAATGTGTGAAACCAACTTGTCCCTGTATTATAAATGAAAGTATTGAGATGTTGAGAGATTTATATCTAGGTTTTGAAACTTAAGTGTAGTCTAAGGGCTTAATTCTCAGCTGGGAATGTAATCATGAGTCAAGTATCTGTAGTTGGAAGAGCGAGTAAATGGTAGGAAACTGACCTTATACTGACTCAGTTTAGTAGATCTGTAACACGTATGTAGTCTGTTCTCTGTCATGTGCTACTGCCAACATATTTTGCCTGATAACTTTTGTGGTCTGTTTTCTGTTTCCATCAGTATCCCAAGGACCAACCTACTATTGGTCCTAAGAGGTTAGAACCCTAGAAATTTGAGCCACAGTCTTATCAAACAATTCTTGATTGTGAACTAAGCTCACAATCTTTAAATGTGTTCTAAATGTCTCAGTGGTCAGCCTTTCTTTCTGGTTTGTGTTTGTATTGTATCAACTTACATGAGGACAGAACTTTACATCTTTGAAAGAATAGATTGTCTATACTTGTGAGAGCTTTTACCTGAAGGAGACTTTTTTAAACTTCTTTTTTAAAGATTTTATTTATGGGCCCTCTCTGGTTGCGCAGCGGGTTGGAGTGCTGCACTGCAAAGCTAAACCAAGCCATGGCTGCTTCTGTGGGAGTTCAATCCCTGCCCCAGAGGTGACCCACATGGTGCATCAGACCTTTCCTGTCTCGCCAGCTGCACCCCTCAGCAGTGTACTTTGTCATTATGCCTGTTCTGCTCTCCACTTTGTTTCTGGTGAATCTTCTCGCTGCCCCTGCACCTCTGGCCTGTACCTCATTTCTGTATGCATAAATAAATAGAAATCTTTAAAAAATGATTTTATTTATTTTTGCATAGAAGTGCTGGGATATAGGCCAGAGGTATGGGGGTGGGGGGGTGAGAGGATTCAGCAGAGACAGAGTGGGGAACAGAACTGACAAATGTATTGAAATATACTGCTGAGGGGAGCAGTGGGCGAGACAGGAGAGGTCTGCTGTGTCATGTTGCGCCACCACCCTGGTTGGTGATTGAACTCAGGTAGTAGCAGTGATAGTGCTGAGACTAACCCCTATGCCACCAGAGAGGCCCCTGAAGACTTCTTTATTCATATTTAGGGACCACCTCCTCTATGAAGCCTTTTCTAATACTTCTTTCCCTCTTAGCTCCCAGAATTGTCACTTCTTTCTTGGTGTATATTATGTATACACGTTTTTGTATATTTTTTTATATTATGTTTATAATAAACATGGTATTTCTTTCCTCTACTGCACTGCGTTGTTCTATTTCTTTATAGTCAGTCTCATTGTACTAGGCTGTAAACTTCTTAAGGATATGGTCTATATCTTATCTCTGTGTGTTGTTTGTTACATAGAAGGTGCCCATATGTTTTATGATTTAATGGATCAGTGAACAGTATATTAAATAATGTAGTGAACCACTTAAGGAGAGATTAAAAACTCAGATACCTTCAGGATCTGGATATAAATGAGTAAAGGCGATCTGGTAGGACTGTAGTAACCTAGACAACACAGTCACCTTATATGAAAGGGGCAGCTACTACTTAGCTCCAGTGCATTTGTGTCTTGTGGAAATGTTTGTCATAAATTTTTAAGAAAATTTATTTATGCATACAAAACTGGGTTGCAGGCCAGAGGTGCAGGTGCGGTGAGAGGATTCACCAGAGATGGAGTGGGGAGCGGAACAGGCCGACTGACGAAGTACACTGCTGAGGGGAGCAGTGGGTGGGTCAGGAGAGGTCTGCCGTGCCATGTGGATAATCTCTGGGATGGGGATCGAACTTGTGCTGCAGTGGCTTTAGCTTCTTAGTGCTGTGCTTTAACCCACTGTGCCACCAGGGAGGGCCCCTACATTTTAATTTTTAAAGAGAAGCCAGACGCTTGGGGTTTTGTGTGAAATCTCTCCATTGTAAAATGTTAACTAGTTTTTTTCTTAAGGTTTTAATTTGGTTATAACTTGCATTATTAATAAGTGTATTATGTGAATGGCTCAATCCATTTTCACAAACTGAACTCATTTTTTATGTGGTCTAGATTGACCTGCAAGCCACTAGTTTGTAACTTGTAGCTAGGCCATATGGGGAACTATATAGTTGTAGGTAAAATTATCCTAAAGAGATATAGGCAGATGTAATGTGCAGGCCTTGTTTGGATTATTGTTTAAAGGAAAACACTTGTGAAGCAACTTGAACAATTTTGAATATTGACTGACAGTATTTTAAAGAATTACTGCTAATTATTTTAGCTGTACTAGCTGTTTTTTTAGACTTTATTTTTTAGAGCAGTTTTACATTCACAACAAAATTGAGTGGAGATACAGAGAATTCCCATAGACTATGTGCCGCTACACATGCATACCCCTCCCTCCACCATTACCTGCATCCCCTGCCAGGGTGGTACATTTTTACAATCAGAGAACCTACATTGACACATAATTTTACCCAAAGCCCATGGTTTACATTATTAAAGTTTAGTCTTGATTTGTATATTCTATGCATTTTGGCAATTGTATGATGTCCTATATCTACCATTATAGTTAGTATCATAAATGGTTATTTTTTGAGTCTTTAAAGACACATACTGAACCACTTATGCATGAAATGATGGAGTGTGGGAATTTGTTTCAAAATAATTTGGGAAAAGTGTGAAAGTTGGTTTTCCACTTCCAAAAGGAGAGCAAGGGTTCAGGCTAAAACAAGACATTTTGGGCTTACGAGAATGGGACACCCCTACTGTGGTGCCAGAGCATAAAATTCTGGAATTGAAGTCTATGTAGGTAATAATGTATCCTGTTTTTCATTTTATAGGGCCTGAAAGTCAGTATACTAAGACTGCTCAGGAGATTGTGAATGTCTGTTATCAGACCTTAACTGAGGTAGGTGATGAAGAGGAGGTCTCCTTGGGACCAGCTTTCTGGAATGCCTTTGTTCTCTTGGGTGAGGGGGCCTTCTCTGCCTGTACTATTTTAAAATGTAGTGTATCCCATCCCCACTTCACCCCACATCTTTTATTTCCTCTCTGCTTTACTTTCCTACCTACTATTGTTTTTAACCAACTATATAATTATTTATTATAATTATTTGTGCCCTGCCACTAGAATAGAAACTCCACAAGGACAGATATTTCTGTCTGTTCTATTTACTTTTTTATTACCAGCAAATGAATTCACTAAATTTATTTCTCAGTATGATGAGCATTTGACTCAACTTGAGAAGGATATTTGTACAGCTAAAGAAGCAGCTTTGGAGGAAGCAGAATTAGAAAGCTTGGACCCAATGACCCCAGGCCCCTACACACCTCAGGTAAGTCTGAGGACCAGAAAATTCCTCTTAAACACTTTTTTAATTGGTTTGGGAAATTGGGAGCATGTTAACAGATGCGTTTACTGAGATACCCTTCTTCTCTGTCCTTCCTCTTCATATGCCTTTCGTGTGCTTTCTTGTCTTCTCAAAGGCTAAGGTGAGTGAGGACCAGTGGGTCTTGGTGGCCTTGTTGAATTCAGAAGAGGCAGATGTGGGATGAGTGAGTGGAATGGGGTCTTAGTTGTTTAGGCAGTATTTGGGAATACTGGATTCTTGACTGCTGTGGCCAGAGGCATCCTTTGAGTCTGTGGTGCTCCCCTGTACATGAATTAAGGCTATAGGACATACCTGGAGTATAGAGTTCTCAGTTACAGACATGGGCCACATGTTTCTGTGCCTTATATATACCTGGTTATTCATTCCCTCAGATATAACTCAGTGTAACTAAGGTGTCACCTGTTTTACTAGATTGACATGACAGGTAATACTTATAATCTTAACTTTACCTGGTAAAAGACTGGTGAGCAGATGAATAAGAAATTCTATTCTGACCCTTGAATACTAAGTGTATTTCATTTCTATTACTTGTAGAGGGCAGGCATTTTGAAGAATAGGACTTACTAGAATTTAGCTGGTGCTTAGTTTCTTTATTGAAGGTACTATGGCAAAGTGGAAAGTACTTGAAGTTTGGTATAAAATAGGCCTGGGTTTGAATCTTAACTCTGCTAATATATAGCTTTGTGAACCTGGAAATATAATTTAACCTCTCTAGCTCAGTTTCCTATTCTCTAAAATGAACTTTTTAAGATAGATGTGGACATTAGATGATTTCATTTTTCCTGGCACACAGACGTACAGTAAGTATTTCCTTGTCTGTTTCAAAATTGTCTACAGAGTCCTCACAGGTGCTGTCATATTCAAGCAAATATTTTAAAGCCAAGTTCTCCGAATTCCCACAGGAAATTACTTTTTTCATTCTACTTAGTTTTTCCTCTGAATTGTTAATGTGATCTCTGCTAAGTTACTGTTATTTCTCATTCATGCACTCTGCTTGTCTATCTTTTACTTTCTCTTTTGTCCCAAAACCTAGGTTACTGAGGAGCCAAACATGTAAAGAACCCTAAAATACTTCTTCCAGGCCCAGAACAAGAGTATGCACAGATTGGGTTAGGTTGGGGGGGTACTTGGGTGAGTGATACTGCACAGAAAGGCCCTATTTACTAATAGGCTCACAGCTTCCACAAGGCCATTTCTGGTAAGTTAAAGTCTGGTTTTTAGCCATCATTCCCCAGGATAGCCTAGCCACTGAATGGTACATGATTTGCTGTAGTCTCTTGATAGCCAAAGCCTAATCCTTTGGTGAGTCAAAGCCTTAGACCCAAACTCATCTTCCTTTCTTCCCTCTTCTTCCCATATGATCTTAAACAACTCAGGAAATCTGGCAATTGTTCTCACTCCTGAATAGTAACTATTGTTTGGTGTAGTTAGAGGGTCTTCTGTGAAGAGAAGCTTATAGATAGTTCCTCCTCATTATTCTAGTTCACCCTCTTCGTCCCTTCCTTCATATGTACTATTTTTAAATAGTAATCCAATTTTACTACCTCTTAATGTGAAGATGCAAGTGCCTGACCATCCTTACCCATTACTCAAATCCAAATGTTATTGGAGAGTATTTGTGTAAGTTAACTTACCATAGTATAATTCTGGTTGCAACATAACAGTAATCATACTTTATTTCCTTCTAGCTTATATTGTATCCTATTTCAGTTTCACAATTTTTCTGAAACTGTTCACCTTCCAGTTCTCTACATAGCCTTTCATTTCCTGATTTTTCTCCTGTTCCACAGTTTATCTGCTCTTTGATACTTTGAGTTCTGTTTAGCCTTTCTTTCTCCAAGCTCTTCTCATTTAGCCTTGCCTACTTGCTTAAAACAAAAACAATTTGGTTTTGAATTTTATTGATAAAATTGAATTTTATTGATAAAAGGAAAATGATCATTGGGAAAAATTGGAAAATATAAAGAAGAAATAAATTACCTAAAATCAAACTCACCAAAGAATCTATCACTGAGCATTTTGGAACACTTTTTTTTTTCTTATTTGTTTTTTACATCATCCTTCATTTTGTACATTTTTCCATCTCAGGTGTAGTTGTTGTGGGCTTCCCACACCAGTTCACCCTGTGCCATTGCCATAGTCCCATGCCCTCTTCCCACCCCAATTTTTACCCCATTCTCTTTCCACCCCATACTATGGCTCTGGTTTATAGTTCATTGTTCTCATTTTTATTACATTTGCTTCTCTCTCTTCCCCTCCTCCCAACCCCTTAAACTTGCTATGAGTGAAACCATCCAGTATTTTTCTTTTTCTGGCTTATTTCACTAAGCATGATCCCTTCCAGCTCCATCGATGTTGCTGCAAAAGGCATGAGTTTATTTTTTTGATTGCTGAGTAATATTCTGTTGTGATATGTTGATATGTACCACATCTTTTTTTTAAAAAAAAATTATTTATGCTGGGCCCTC